GCGGTGCGGTGCGGTGCGGTGACCATGCCTGGCCGTCGGAGCGGCGCCCTGTCGGAGCGGAGCCCGCTGCTGGCTTACCGGCTGTGCAGCAGCACCTCGCTGGAGGCGGAGGAGGCGCCGCCGCAGCCCCGCAAGCTCTCCACGTTCCTGGGCGTCGTCGTGCCCACTCTGCTCTCCATGTTCAGCGTGGTGCTCTTCCTGCGCCTGGGTGAGTGGGCCCGCCCGGCGCGGCCGCAGCTGCCCGCCTGGGTTTGGCCTCGGCTCACGGGTTGCTTGGTCTGTGGCTCAACGCGTGGCGCGGAGGCCGGTTGACCCTGTCGTGCGAACGCAGCCGGGCTGTCCTGGAGGGAAACTCTCGCTTTCCGAAGAAAGAGGAAGTCCTCGGACACCAGAAGGCTTGGTGATTAAGCCACCAACTCCTTGGGCCGTTGCGGCGTGATTCTTGGATAAACCAAGAATAAACCCGCACTCGCTGCAAGGTGCCCTAGAGGTGGCCGTATAATCCTGGTCTGTTTGGCAGGGTGGTTGTAAAGAATAGCAGAGTCAGTGAAGCATTAGAGGAGGTGTTCGCTGAGGAAATGAGAACACCTGAGCAACCTTGTCTGAACTCAGAAGCCAAGCTACCTGCTGGCCTTTGGATGGGAGACCACCAAGAAATCTCCCCTCTGTAGGCTAGAATGGGAAGAATTGGACTTCAAGAGTGACAAAAATGTGCCAACTCAAGGCAATCGTGTCCTGGGGTTTGAAAGCCTACGTGGTTGGGTTATCCGGGGCTGTCTGCTCCAAGTAGAAGCTGATTGTGGGGCAGACACCCTCTGCCAGGGAGGGAAGGGGGGCCAGAAGTGAGCTTCCTCTGCTACAGCGCCCTCCCTCTGGAACAGTCTGCTCCCCAAGGAGAGGTTGACATTTGGGCGCAGGGGCTGTTAAGAATTGAGCATGATGAGCTTTTGATTATTCTGTTATTCTCTTATATTCTGAAACAGTGTTTCTCAACCTTGGCCACTTGAAGATGTGAGGACTTCAACTCCCAGAATTCCCCAGCCAGCATG